GATTTAAAGTTTTTGAATAGGAAGATGTGTCATAATGTCTTATATGTTTGTTCTCTGAGTCATTGATGTCATATATGTCATAATCTTCTATGACTCATTGATGTTAAATAAATTAGAAGTAGTGTGATACTCTTTTATATGTTTGTTCCGTGACTTATTTATTCTAAATTTTTCAGGTGAAAAAATCTCAATATCATAATTTATATTTTAGGAAGATTTGATAAACCTATTACATTATTTGTGGTTTAATGTCTCAATAGGTCCCTATTTTTTGTTCAGAATTTGAAATAGGTCCCTTTATTTTTTGGCGTCTCAATTAGGTCTTTATTTTTGTTAATTTGATGCAAAAAATCATTTCCGTCAATTTCATCAAACGGCGTAATGAATGTGTGACGTGGCCTTATTTCAAATGTACCCAAAAAATAAAGGGACCTATTTCAAATTCTGAACAAAAATAGGGACCTATTGAGACATTAAACCCATTATTTGTTATCAACTCCATAAGAACATGTGAAATGTTTATATCCAAATTGGTTCTGTGAAGGAAAGAAAAAAGTATAGACAAACTCACCCCGTTTTTTAGAAAGAAAAACAATCTTATAAACGACTATATATTTAATGATAAATAATCTGTATTAATATTGTGATTAAAAAAGTGCAATTATTAGGAACTAATTTGTTTCTTTATCCAGCAACGGACAGAAATAATTGAGAGGAAGTGAAAAAGTAATTCTATTTTAGAATCCTTTTTTTCTTATATACAACTTATTTTTTTTTTCAATTTTACTTATCATAAAATTCCTAAGAGTCTATTTCCTCAAGTATGAATTAGGATTTGATGATCCTAATCATTGCTATGATAAAATATAACAAATTATTAACTTTATTATCACATTAAAAAATGATTTTAAAACCAATTCAAGTTCACAAAATTATTTATAAAATAAGATTTATCTATATATAAATCAAATTAACGTTATCATCTAATAGCTGAAAAATATTTATTCTTTTAAAATATATAATTTTATTTTAAATCTTCAAAAACTAATTTTTCATTATACTGGAAAGTTTTAATGTAAAATTGAGGTATATATATTCCCCGGCAACCTTCCTCTTGATGAAAGGGTTTGTAATGTATTGCATATACAGTAACCTAGCCTAGGCAGATGAAACAAGACGATGATGAATCAGCTGATCAAATAATATACTTTTCCAATAAAAAGAATTGCACTAGCTAGTACCAAGATTTTGTACAAAAAAAAAGTTGAATGATAAAGAGAGGCTGAAAAAGAAATGATTAATATGATGGAGAATGGGGGAAATATAATAAATAAATATTTCTTTTTAATTTGATTCACTTGCGTCATTGATTCATTTCTCCTTCTGAAATAATTAGTGGGCTATGTCATTGATATGATTGTAGAAAAGACATATAATACTAAAAATTAAAGTTTAAAAAATTCTTTTATATTTGTACGTATATCTTCTTATTTGTATATAAAAAGTCCCACATTTTACTTTTTATATAAGCAAATTTGTTTCTTGCGATTATTTATAAAAATACTTAATTAATGATTTAAATTTTACATTTTTTTGTTTTGGTATTTACATATTTTTTTTGAGTTTTTATTATTTAAAAAATTAATGTGATACTTTACTAAATTAATATTATCACATTTTATTAAATTTTTTATTCTAATTTTTTTTTTATATATGATACATTTTATATAAAAGATAGTCCAGATTTTTGATATATTCATTGAATTTTTTTTTACGAAAACAAAGACTAAGTAAAACAATAATATTAAAACTAAAATAAATCAAATATTTAAATATACAGATCAAATTATTAATTAATCTTTAAAAAATATATTTTAATTTAGATTTGCAGAATAATTTTTTCCCTCCTTTACAAATTTCTATTATCAAGTAACTTTATTGATTTTAGGTATTTTAATATTTCCAGAAAAATAAAATAGACGTTGTAGGGTAGTTATAAATGTTTTGACAACCGTCAATAGTTTTTGACAATTATCAAAGTCATAAAAGTAAAAAAATAAATAAAGATGTTTCTAACATGTACAATTGATATTGGCCATTTCTGAATGTTGAAATTCAATTATATAACGATGAAAGATTTGTTCAGTCTGAGTTTTTATTGATGGTATAAGAGATATCATTAAAGTTTTTATAATATGTGAAGACTAAAAAAAAGTGTGCAGAAATAGAGACTAAAAAAACTAAAAATCATGTTAATCTGAGAAGATTTGGATTTGACATTTTAAAAATGATTTTAAGTTTAAATATTTTAATTAAAAAAATAATTAAAATTAAAACTCATTAGAAATTAATAATAAAAAAAGTCAATACATATTATCAAAAAATAAAGGTGTTTAAAAAGAAAAGGGACACTAAGTAACTAGCATTGGTTGAAAAGGTCGAGTAGGCCGGTGTATGGCACACTCCAAAAGTTGACTAGCTAATCAAAGAATTAATAGCTAGGAAGTGTTAAGAACCATTGAAAATCATTTCTTTCTACTTTTAATTTATGCAAAAGTTCATTTAACCAAATATTTTTGAGAAGTTCAAATCTATTAAATTACAAATATCCCAAATCACGACTTTCAATTAAAAATTAATAATTGAAAGTTGTCTTCATTGATCACGATTTCATCTTACAATTTGACACTACATGTCTTGTGATAAAAAAAAATGTTTAATGTCTACATTTTCATTGAGAAAAACGTAAGCATAACCCACAACTTTACTCTTTTTTTTTTTTTTTTTTGAATATCATCATCACCATAGTTCACGATTTTTACTTTTTAAGTATAATTAATCTCCATTGTTCACCAATTGTTCACGACTTCTACTTTGACAAACTATAATGAATCACCATAGTTCACGACTTCTACATTGACCATAATGAAGCCACTTACTCGTATCACAACTTACGCCAAAATCTGAAAATAAAATAAAAATTTGTTTAAAACAAATAGTAAACCAATTTGTTGAAATCCAGCCTCGTGCCATGCAAACACATGCATATGCGAGAATGTTAGTTTAGCTCTTTGCGTTCAAATTTTCATGTATCGAAATCTCACTCATACCATTCTTAAAATCGATACACTAATGTAGATATATATATATCTACAGGTTGCTTCTCCCATTTCTTAAATTCCTGCCATCTTTTTCAATCGATACTGAATTTGAGTATTTTAAAAGAATATAAATTAATTGTGCGATCGTAGTAACATGAAATTTATTTGCTCAAAGTGAAAAACAGGTAGACAAACATGACTTTTCAGAACACGTAAGAATATCAATTTTGTTCATCTCCACTTATTCCAAACTGCATTAATACAAACATGCATAATATAAGAACCTAATCAAACGTAGAAGGTATATGGATTGCTGCGACCACATAATATAAGAACCTAATCAAACTAACATTATAAGGATTGCACCATACATAAGAGTTGCATTTGCATGTTACTTATTCGTTAGTTGTTAATAGAATGACCAACACCAGGGCTATGGCCGGGAGTGGTGGGTCGAAAAGCTTCAACATATCCATTCAAACTCTTAGCGATACTCTCTAACTGGCTTGGCTTTGCAACAACACCTTTTGTGGTGTTAATGGCAGTGCTCATTGCCTTGACGGAGGAGACAGATTTTGGTGACTTGGTGGTTCTGGTTGCTTTCAAACTCCTTCCTTCTATGCAAAGCAGTTCCCATGATAGGAACAGTAGTACAAAAAGAAAGCAAGTAGTGCGAGCCAAATGTGCCATTGATAAACTCAAAGGTTCAAATGGGGGATGAGAAAGGAAAGAAGAAGAAATTTAAGGAGTTGAAATATGAATGAACACTGCTTCAGTGGTGTACTTTTATAGGCATAAGGGGAGGGGAAGCATGTGCTCCAAACACTTAGGGAAAGACTGAAAAAAAAAAATGAAGAGCCAGGAATCAAACTAGGGAAGATTCCATTGCCATTGATATTCGTGACTTCAAGCGTAAATAAATAAGTCTGTGGGGGAAAAGAACAAAAAAAAAAACATCATAAAGTAGACAGACTTGGTAGTTGGGTTAAAGGAAAGGCTTATGGCCACAGGTTTTTCTGCTAATGCAACTTTTACAGCTTTTAACGATTAAAAGAGTTAACTGTAAAATATAATCAAGTACAGCATGGACGTTGCAAAGGTAAGATAAGAAATAACTAAAAGTTTAGAGTTTCAATTTCCATTGGCTTCTTTTCTTTTTTCTGGTGGCAAGAAGAAGTGGAAGGGATTTTGTTACTATAAGGTTGATAACATGTTTAATGGAGAGAAAAGATTTTAACAAAAAAAGCATATGTACGACCATTATTTGTGCTTACACTATAGAATGGCCAGATAATATATGAAGAATAATAAATATACACCATTCTTTTACGTTTGCGTTTACTGTAAGTGATTAATTGCCTAGTGGTTCATATATTTCAAGATCAGAAAGAAACATACGTATCTAGATAAGCTAGATTTGGTTCTACAGTACATTTTTCTCTAGCTATATTTTGCATTCTGGACCCTTCGGGGTGAAATTCCAGCAAGTTTGCGTCTGTGTGTATCAGTAGTGCATTTATGATACATTAAACACTACAGATGGATCAAAAATAGATATCTCTCTCTTTCTTTATATATGGGATTTAATTTTTTTAATATATTTTTTAATAGATTTAAAAACTAATCCTTATTAATTTAAGTGACAAAGCAATGTGGGTCATGTTACGCAACGCAACATTGGCAATGATATTTAATACATTAAAAGAGTTTACAAAGATTTCGAGAGTTTATACTTAGAAAATTGAGCAGAAAATTTGTTTATTATTAGATTAACTATAGATTATTCTGTGCCAGTGTACAGAGAAGATGTCTTTGTTTTTTGTGTATGGCCTGGTTTGTGTTTAAAGTTAAAAGTGAAATAGAAAATGAATATATATATGTATATAAATGGAGAGCAGAATCTGTGCAGTTAAATAGAACCACAAAGGAAGGAAGGTTTGTGATGCAAGTTGCGTGTGTGAGTCTGAAACTGTGGTGAGACTGTGAAAAGATGAGAAGTGCACATGCATGGTGCGAAGCTTGACTCTTGTGAGCTGCTGCAAATTGTCGTTCTTTCGATTCCTTTTGTCCTTGGAAACATAGCCGCCTTTATTAAAGTTAGCATTCTGTTGTGTTCTTAAGAACTGGGCAATAAATTAAGCTATCGGAACATCCTCAAAAAAAGAAAACAAAAGCTATCGGAAAGAACAAATATTTAAACCAATCAACATGGAATCTAGCTTACACAATAGCCTACTAGGATCCACTCTTTCATATTTGCGGCTGCTCAAATTACCTCCCATACTTAATTTTACACCAATATTTCCTTTTTTATTAACCACTATTCAAAGATATAGTTTTTTTTTTCACAGATTTTCATAGATATTGGTAAAAAATTACAAAATAAACTTTAAAAATCACACGTGAAGACACCAAAAAAATGTACACCATCGTGACATATCGGCAAAAAAATAAATAAATTCATTAACTAATTTGTCTTAGAATATAGATTATTATTTGTAAAAAAATTAAACTAGAGAGGTATAGAACCAGAAGTATGAATTATTCATGTAAATTTTCAAAAAGAAAATAGTAAATCATAATATATATATATATATTATAATAATAAAAAAAATTATATTATAGAGTATACTCTATCCCATATATATTTTCCAATTAAAATATATATTACATACATACATATCTAAAACGGAGTTTATATATACTCAATCAATATATATATATATATATATATATATATATATATATATATATATATATATATATATATATATATATATATATATATATATATATATATATATATATATATATNATATATATATATATATATATATATTGATTGAGTATATATAAACTCCGTTTTAGATATGTATGTATGTAATATATATTTTAATTGGAAAATATATATGGGATAGAGTATACTCTATAATATAATTTTTTTTATTATTATAATATATATATATATATTATGATTTACTATTTTCTTTTTGAAAATTTACATGAATAATTCATACTTCTGGTTCTATACCTCTCTAGTTTAATTTTTTTACAAATAATAATCTATATTCTAAGACAAATTAGTTAATGAATTTATTTATTTTTTTGCCGATATGTCACGATGGTGTACATTTTTTTGGTGTCTTCACGTGTGATTTTTAAAGTTTATTTTGTAATTTTTTACCAATATCTATGAAAATCTGTGAAAAAAAAAACTATATCTTTGAATAGTGGTTAATAAAAAAGGAAATATTGGTGTAAAATTAAGTATGGGAGGTAATTTGAGCAGCCGCAAATATGAAAGAGTGGATCCTAGTAGGCTATTGTGTAAGCTAGATTCCATGTTGATTGGTTTAAATATTTGTTCTTTCCGATAGCTTTTGTTTTCTTTTTTTGAGGATGTTCCGATAGCTTAATTTATTGCCCAGTTCTTAAGAACACAACAGAATGCTAACTTTAATAAAGGCGGCTATGTTTCCAAGGACAAAAGGAATCGAAAGAACGACAATTTGCAGCAGCTCACAAGAGTCAAGCTTCGCACCATGCATGTGCACTTCTCATCTTTTCACAGTCTCACCACAGTTTCAGACTCACACACGCAACTTGCATCACAAACCTTCCTTCCTTTGTGGTTCTATTTAACTGCACAGATTCTGCTCTCCATTTATATACATATATATATTCATTTTCTATTTCACTTTTAACTTTAAACACAAACCAGGCCATACACAAAAAACAAAGACATCTTCTCTGTACACTGGCACAGAATAATCTATAGTTAATCTAATAATAAACAAATTTTCTGCTCAATTTTCTAAGTATAAACTCTCGAAATCTTTGTAAACTCTTTTAATGTATTAAATATCATTGCCAATGTTGCGTTGCGTAACATGACCCACATTGCTTTGTCACTTAAATTAATAAGGATTAGTTTTTAAATCTATTAAAAAATATATTAAAAAAATTAAATCCCATATATAAAGAAAGAGAGAGATATCTATTTTTGATCCATCTGTAGTGTTTAATGTATCATAAATGCACTACTGATACACACAGACGCAAACTTGCTGGAATTTCACCCCGAAGGGTCCAGAATGCAAAATATAGCTAGAGAAAAATGTACTGTAGAACCAAATCTAGCTTATCTAGATACGTATGTTTCTTTCTGATCTTGAAATATATGAACCACTAGGCAATTAATCACTTACAGTAAACGCAAACGTAAAAGAATGGTGTATATTTATTATTCTTCATATATTATCTGGCCATTCTATAGTGTAAGCCCAAATAACCGTCGTACATATGCTTTTTTGTTAAAATCTTTCTCTCCATTAAACATGTTTACAACCTTATTAACAAAATCCCTTCCACTTCTTCTGCCACCAGAAAAAAGAAAGAAGCCATGGAAATTGAAACTCTAAACTTGTAGTTATTTCTTATCTTACCTTTGCAACGTCCATGCTGTACTTGTATATTTTACAGTTAACTCTTTTAATCGTTAAAAGCTGTAAAAGTTGCATTAGCAGAAAAACCTGTGGCCATTAAGCCTTTCCTTTACCCCAACTACCAAGTCTGTCTACTTTATGATGTTTTTTTTTTGTTCTTTTCCCCACAGACTTATTTATTTACGCCTTGAAGTCACGAATATCATGTCAATGAATCTTCCCTAGTTTGATTCGCTGGCTCTCATTTTTTTTTTTCAGTCTTTCCCTAAGTGTTTGGAGCACATGCTTCCCCTCCCCTTATGCCTATAAAAGTACACCACTGAAGCAGTGTTCATTCATATTTCAACTCCTTAAATTTCTTCTTCTTTCCTTTCTCATCCCCCATTTGAACCTTTGAGTTTATCAATGGCACATTTGGCTCGCACTACTTGCTTTCTTTTTGTACTACTGTTCCTATCATGGGAACTTCTTTGCATAGAAGGATGGAGTTTGAAAGCAACCAGAACCACCAAGTCACCAAAATCTGTCTCCTCCGTCAAGGCAATGAGCACTGCCATTAACACCACAAAAGGTGTTGTTGCAAAGCCAAGCCAGTTAGAGAGTATCGCTAAGAGTTTGAATGGATATGTTGAAGCTTTTCGACCCACCACTCCCGGCCATAGCCCTGGTGTTGGTCATTCTATTAACAACTAACGAATAAGTAACATGCAAATGCAACTCTTATGTATGGTGCAATCCTTATAATGTTAGTTTGATTAGGTTCTTATATTATGTGGTCGCAGCAATCCATATACCTTCTACGTTTGATTAGGTTCTTATATTATGCATGTTTGTATTAATGCAGTTTGGAATAAGTGGAGATGAACAAAATTGATATTCTTACGTGTTCTGAAAAGTCATGTTTGTCTACCTGTTTTTCACTTTGAGCAAATAAATTTCATGTTACTACGATCGCACAATTAATTTATATTCTTTTAAAATACTCAAATTCAGTATCGATTGAAAAAGATGGCAGGAATTTAAGAAATGGGAGAAGCAACCTGTAGATATATATATATCTACATTAGTGTATCGATTTTAAGAATGGTATGAGTGAGATTTCGATACATGAAAATTTCAACGCAAAGAGCTAAACTAACATTCTCGCATATGCATGTGTTTGCATGGCACGAGGCTGGATTTCAGCAAATTGGTTTACTATTTGTTTTAAACAAATTTTTATTTTATTTCAGATTTTGGCGTAAGTTGTGATACGAGTAAGTGGCTTCATTATGGTCAATGTAGAAGTCGTGAACTATGGTGATTCATTATAGTTTGTCAAAGTAGAAGTCGTGAACAATTGGTGAACAATGGAGATTAATTATACTTAAAAAGTAAAATCGTGAACTATGGTGATGATGATATTCAAAAAAAAAAAAAAAAGAGTAAA